ATGTATTCCTGTATACAAGAGTCAAATCTCCATTATTCACTCCAACTATAATTACTTGTTTTGCATGTATGAGGTGGGACCTGTAACACATAATCATGATGTTATTTATTGTCCTGCAATAGTAATTTTATCACGTTACAGTTGGATACCATATGGTATAATGAAGAATATAAGCATCCCACGCAATGTATGAAAAGCTTCCATACAACAATTAATTTAATGTACTCCACTTTTCCACTACCTCCCCACTGAGACTATCATTGAATTATATGGTATCTCACTAAGGAGAATTTTATTTTTAGATCTAAGAGCCAGTCAAAGCTCTGCTGAGTTGCAGGTAGAGCTACTAACCAGAAATGTAAGTGGCTTTATTTCACCAACATGCATGAAATACTAAGGTGCTTGCAATATATGGTATTAACCACTTCTGTATTCCAGTTCTATTTACAGCTATGGTATGTACTGAGGTAACCTGTATGAAACTATGTGCTTATGTCCTATTCACTCCATCGTAGAACTAAGCTAGGCACTTAAAACATCTACACTGTATCTACAACACAGCCAAGAGAAGCTGAGCATCTCCGCTGCCTGTCAACTTTCTCCTTTGTGATCCGTTTGGATACAGGTCTTGCCTTTAAGATAAGGCATGAATCCTGGGTAGTTCATTTGCAGGACTACTCCCAGATGACAATAAAGCCTAGAATGTCATATCAGGTATCCTTGGATCCCCGTTGTGCAACAGTGTCCCAACGGGTTCAGCAAATCCCCTCCTCCAAACGCCCTCACTTGTACCACAGGGCACGTAATACTACATTTCAAGTTATAACACCACCACTCTAGCAGGATGCTGTACAGCCTTCACACTCTAAGCTGAAAAAATACATTAAAATAACAACTCTGCTGCAGGACCAGGTAAATACCACAAAGTACACAGATAAGATCCAGTGGTGCAGGCAGAGCAGTCAGCAGCAGAACTCTGCAGCTGGGGCTGAGCCAGTGATTCTTTATGAATGTTTTCATTCTTACTTTCACGGAGAAGGACTGTGAGGTGAGACTACAGCCAGAAAAAGCAATTAGCCAGGTCAAGTTACAGAAGGTCATGGATAAATATATAACTAAACAATCTCTTCACAGGTTATTAAGAAATCTATCCTGATGGCTACAGGACTTTAAAAAGCAGCACCCAAGATGCCATGTAAAAATTATTAACTATTAAAACTTATTAACAAATTTCTCACCTCATTGGGTTTGTGGCCAGCATTCCTAACTGTTTTAAAAGGACACTTTTAAAGCATGATAGTTACTACAGTAACAACATGAAATGTCTTAATTGTTAGAGACTGCAGAAGTGTCCGAGCAATGGTCACTGGTGGCATCGAATCCCTCAAAAGTGATTTTTAATAATCAGAAAATGACGTTTTAGTCGGTCATGCTTGCAGCCAAGTGTGAGTGGCTTTAGAGGTCAGTACATTCCCTGCAGTCTGTGGTGCTAAGTATGGGGAACAGCCGTGCTGTCTGTGGGTGGGATTCATCTAGCCCAGCACAGCTATTTCCTAACTGACGTAGGCAGTTCACCTCCCTCCATAGCCAATGGAGAGAAACTGGACCTTATAGGACTGCTTCATTTTTTTCCTATAGCATACATCTAACAGAGGTTGACTGAAGCACCACTCAAAAGGCCAGGCTGTCCAATAGTTTTGAAAATAATCTAAGGCAATTAGCTCATGCACAGAAGTAAATCGCCTTTAGTGTGTCTGATGAAAGGGGGGGACTTCTTCAGCTACTCCAACTTGATTGCAGTTGCTCTATGTTAGTGACTACACCATGCTCTCATGTATGCTCATATGCTCTATTCATACAGTTTAACACACCTTTTCCTGGTATGTTTCTAAATCCTACATGCTGTTTTGTTAGTGAACTACAGCTATTTTCACACGAGTAACAGATACATAAGGTTAGACTATCTGTTTCTTACAGTGATGCAAACCATAAAAACACCTCTAGGATATTTTTGAAACACTACTGATACAAAAATAATGTATGTGAACAGAATGATGCTTTGATAAAGGACTTTGTCTCCTGAACTTAAACCCTGAAGCTGAATACATCTTGTTCCTGGGGGTACACTCAGCAGACAGGTCCCCAAGTTCAGAAATTCATTTCTGACTCTTGCTAAAGCTCATCACTTCCTCAGGTACGCAGGTTAAATCGTTTACAAAGTCAAACGATAAAACAGATCAGAGGTGCGGTCTGAATTAAAAGCAGCATCTTTCTCAGAGTGTCTTTCACCAACCTAGCTGCCAGTGCCACCACATAAACAGCTGTGCTGGCACAAGTGACAGTGATAAGCAAGTGTTGAGGGGTGGAGATTAGTTCACTGGCAACGTTAGTTTTGTTGCCAAGGAAAAGACGCAAAGAATAGCATAGAACAGCTCTCAAAGCTGAAGAGGCTCCTCCAGATGATAATTCAGAGCCGAAGCTTCACTAACATAGTCTGAATTGCTCTCTGGAGGAGCCTCTCTCACTCCTTCAACTATGCAAGGCATCTGGGGAGACAAGCCTCCTAAATTAGGCATCTAAGTTGTGTGTTTAAATGCATGCAGTGAATATTCCCTCCAAGAATGTGAAAGGGATGCTATAATAATTTAAAATAAGTTTAACCAAAGCTATGATAACAATGCCTGTTCTTTTATGAGATGCAGTTGTGTCGCTGACCCTCTGCTGACCCTCTACTGACACAATTGTTTCTCATTTATTAAATAAATGAACAGTTAACAAATGCACATCTTGCAAGTACAGCCCAAATTTCAAAGTTAAAAAAAGATTCCCTTTTTTCCCCCTCGAAATATGAATCAGATTAAGTTGTTCACATGGAAACCACAGTATATTCCTTACAATAATCACACCAGAAGACCAGAATGGGGAAACATGACCATTGAAATGATGACTAGCATATCTTATTTAATTTTTTTTTTGTTCTCCATAAGCACTTTTTAAAAGTCCATTAGTAATTTTGGCTGAAGTTTCACTAGTAATTTTATTTTGCCATTTACTACATTGCTCCTATTCTCTCAGAACTGCTTACGTATTGCTAAATGGAGGTAAGAAGTTCTCAGTGAATGGCAGAAGTCATTTTTTCAATACAAATGCACGGCCATTGGTTTGCTTACCTTCTGCACTCCTGACTTGCAGATTCCTGATACTTGCGTAAATACCAGAGCACAATTTGTTTCTCAAATGTTCCAAACATAACCACCATCACTGCCACTGATCACAGTATTATTCAAAGGGATGTTCAAGACAACCCTGAAAAGGATTACTGATACCTTGAAGAACACTCTTTATGTGTAGCTACCTTCTGTTCTGGATGAATGTGTTTACAGGAGTGGATTGTTAAAGCCAATTCATCTTCCAATATCTCACACTGCAGAGCTGGAACCAAAATACCTAATAAATTGAATACGCTGGACAAGCCATTAATATGTATTAGACTGTGCTTTGTTTATTCCACTGGTTTGGACACCTAAGCAGTGTGTAAAAAACTGCCCAACTGCTCCCGAATTTGAAACTACCACTTCTAAATTAGAGAAGTACCTACAGGGGAAGGAGAATAATATATACCAGCATGACCTAAATTTATGCCCATGTCTGAGTTAACAGGCTCAACTGAGATAACTGTTTGGTTCAAGCCATTGGAGGCTAGTATCCTATGGCTTTGTAATTGTTTCCCCTCAGCACTCATACTTCAACAAAACAGCTGCCTATGGGTCATGCATGCAACCACAGCTGTGCACAGAGGTGGGTGCTGCAAGCAGCAGTATGCATGGAGCAGCTGGTCACTTAAAACATCCGGACTGGGCAGCTTGTTGCCAAATGAAATATTTAACATCTCATTTCTGCCTACCTTGCGCTCAGCAGAAGCACCAACTGTGCCCGTTCTTCTACCACACCACTTACTAAAAACTAAAAGAAACTCAGTTATCATTAAGGCATCAACCCTTTTGTCAAATGTAGATGAAATTATACAAAAAGTTTCAGAATTACTGCAGAAGGACAGACTCCAGAATTGTCATATCTTAAGCACCACAGCCTAAAATCCACAATTCACCATGGAAGAGTTATGCTAACAAACATTTTTTGCTTAATTGTGTACCGCAGACAACTTCTTAGATGTCAGCCCCAGCACACAGATGAAATTCATGAAACTCTGCCACCTTATACCAGCAGGTGAGGCACCACAGGGCTGGGATGATGTGAATAAACTTTTTCTTTTCCTATCCCAGTTTTTAGGTAACAATTGCTGACACACAGCTTGATGGGCCCAGCTTCACTTTCTCTTAGGTTTCCATTGAAGTCTTCCTCTCTGACTATTGTCAGCTACTTTCTTACTCCTTCTCCAAATGCTATAGGAGATACAAAACCCTTTTGCTGATCCAAAAAAGACCAAGAAACACAACATCCTAATTTCTGATAATCCTTCTAATTTCTGTCCAAAGACTAAAAGCAGAATCACCATTTTTTCCAACTTACTGTGGATTTGCTACGACACAGTTGAAAGATCTACCTTTTTTCTACCTGCATTTTCTACTCTTCAGACATTGACTTGTTCTTCGTAAATTTCAATCAATTTAGTTGTAACTGACATCTTTTTCTTGGACTCTAACAACACAACAGACTCCTCTCAGCTGACTTTATGCATCTACAGAGCAGGCACCTAATTTCATGGTGATTGGCTTACTCCTCCTGTAAGCACTGGAAAAAATTAAACATACAACATAGTCCATCTTGGTCAAAGAGAGGTACCTCTCTCTCTCCACTATGAAGAAAAACTAGAGGAAGCCTAATTTATATACACGAGTCAACAAGAAGATATTGACATTTGAACAGTTAAATACAATAACCATTGGCCATCCCTACCCTCATTTTCTGACAGAATGGAAATCTCAACAGCTTTCCCTTGAACTGCTCTTCATTAACAATCCACTGCATTTGAAATGTACCTTGTATGAAAGATGTTGACTACATCCTTCTGTGTTGCTACTCCATCACAAATTCTGGAGGTTCAGGCTCTGATGGAGTTTCCTAGAAAAGAAATGAGTAGATGTGTCAACATGATAAATTTCATCCAATAAAAATATCTAGGCAGGAGAAGAATTACTATGTGTGTATAGAAATTAACAGTGTGTATCTACTGATGTCTTTACTGAGTTGTGCATATCTTCCCCTGAAGGTTAATAGCCATGAATATGTAACATCCTCCTTCTTTTCTCAATTGCCTCCCTATTGTTTTTTTACCTTCTGTTATTACAGCATTTCTCAGTGTAACCTATAAGACCTTTGGTGAAGAGTTATGTCTGCATGTGAGCATTAAGCATTATTACAAAGGCATAGTAATTCCAGCAGTCAAGTTAAATATAATTGCAAGGGGAAGAGAAGGCAAAAGCAAATGGCAGTTCACAATTCATAGGTATCTCACTTCACATGCTTTCAATCTTTTCCTACAGAACTTTGTGTGTGGGAGAAGGTTACAAATGAAGTTCCCTGCAACTCTGTGCTAAAAGCCTGCACCAACCACCTAAGTTAGACACAGTCTATGGAATTTACGTAACGATAACCAAATCAATTTAGAAACCAGTTTTGTTAATCTGACACAGACCCTAACTGTGAATAGCTTTAAACTTATCTGACAGTGTCTGCAATTATTCTACCTTAAGAGACACTTTTGAACCAAATCAAACGTTCACAGCAAACGAGCTCCATTAATTTATATCAGCTTCTGACTGAACTGACTAGAATAAATCAGAGAAAGAGGGCATGCAATCAGCTCAGCTGGCAGATTTGCAGATCGCTGCAAAGGGGCATGATAAGTCTCTGGGGTTCAGCTGTGAGTAATGCCCTTCTCCACCACCACAGCTGGAGCCTGTCTAACCACAGCCACTGACACCCACCAGCATCATCTCTTATCCCAAGCTGCTACATATATAGCCTTTATCAACAAAATAAAAAGAAGTAAGACCTGAGAATACACCAGCTGTAAAAGAAGTTTCAGTGAAGCATCACCCTCACACAGAAACTTCCTTCACTCTCCTCGCCTGAGATCACTGTACGACAGCAAGTTGCTGAAATGAAATACATGCACGAGTCCCAGCTGTTTTAATACGATGTCCAACAAATTAGCTCAAACTGTAGATAAAGATCAGTTTAATGCCATGTTTTACATTAAAATGCATTAGAAACATTTGCGCTTTCCATTCCTGGGACTGTTGTGGAGGCAATAATCTTCAGTCGAGAGGCAGAACAGACAGTCAGGGAAGTAATATTTCTTAGGTCACCCCAGCCAGGTAAGCTGGAGTTTGTCTGATCACAGCAGCAGTAAAAGCTATAAAATATCACACTCATGGCTACCATTCTTTTACGTTATTAGCAAATTTATTAATTCCTGATGGCTGTTAGTCCTTCTTTTTGCCATATCTCATATCAAAGACCATACAGACATAAAGTGAGAAAGAGACTGGACTAAGTGACCTTCCAAGCCCCTTTCAGCCTGAACTATAATCCTTACATACAGCTAATGTACATGGCTAGGTTTTGGAGAAGCTGTTCTCTTCCTGTTGCCACTTCACAGATCTTGGCAAAATGTGCAGACAGACACTTCCCAAAACAGACCTTCCTTCTGAGAGGTCCAACAAGAGTGACAAGGAATCACTACTGTGTTCAGTAACTACTCTTCTAAGGGAGGCCAATGGGAGCAAGGATATCCTATACCACTAGGAAGCAGAACAACTTGCCTCAAATACTACTCAAAACACTGAAGGAAAAAACACACACAGAGATTATGACTAACTAACTAACCTTCTCTCTGTTACAGTTTCCCAGATGAGGGATATGAGCCTCGGACAAAGCAGTTTATGTGCTGTCTAATGTGATAAGAGGTACAATAAGTCTTTTGAGAATGGATTATGGCGGCACAGGGCTGTGTAATGTCTGCTTTCCCTGACAAGCACTGAAGTCTCCAATGTCCGCATAGCATCTGTGCTTTTGTATGTGACAGAACAGCAAGAATTGATGTCCTGGACAGGAAAGTCTGAAGAAAGCTGGAAAAAGGGGAAGCCAGAGCTGCAGCTGTTATGAATTCATCACAGCTTTGGCTCCAGTTCTAAAATACTCAAAAAGGCCTAAGAATCTCCACATGATTTTCAGGGAAGGGAGATACGTACATCTATGAGTGACACATTCACACATGCTGCATTAAGCGATGCTCTCAGCACCTAGTTTCAACCCCTGCTCTTTCACTTGCATCAGTCAGCATTTCTGAGAACTCTACTGTGAGATACAACCTCATGCTGCTACCTTAAGATTGCAATTTACATTTTCCAGACAAATCATGTTGCCATTGGGAGCTATCACCAGGCTGTTATTAGCAGGATGCTCTCAGCACTGTCACATAGGAGCTGTGGCAGCAGAGAGTGACTGCAGCAGTGCAGCTCAGCTCTTCTGTGGTCTCAGTGGGCTCCTCCTGCCTCCACCTCCATCCTCCTGGTGCTCACCGTAGCTCACCTCGTTCAGGAGTAGGCTCAGCTGAAAGCCAGCTGTTTTTTGGAGGGGCATAACTGCCTTTCAGCTGGGTTGGACCCCAGGCACGCCTCACCAGATGGCAACCTCAGGGTTACTGCTTTGTAAATAAACAGGAAAACCCAACCAGGATTATCAGAGAGGAAGACAGGACTGCCCATCCGATGGCAATATACACAGGCAGGCCTGCACTAACTGCAAAACTACACCCTCAGAGAGGCGTGCGCCTCTGTTCCTGCACAGGAACCAGGCTGCTCACAACATTCACCCTCAGCAGATGATGCCCTGTAAGGCCATCCGCCTTACCAAGCACCGCCCAAGGAACAGCCAACTCCCCACATCTACTACACAGAGGCGATGAAACCCCCTAGCAAAGGCCACATCCAGCCTCCTCCTGCGTGCCAACCCAGGACAGCAGTGTATTTTCTTTCTCCAAGCCGCCCCGCCAGCTGACACGGAAGCAGAGGAGCTCCGCATTCTGAGCGAAGCACGATCCCTGGAGGCACGCAGGACACACCCGCCGCCCCCCGCAGGCGCAGAGGGCTTTTCCTTTGTTTGCAGCCGGCCGGAAAGCCGCGCCCCTTCCCGCTGCGAGCCCGCGGGCCGTTAGCGGCACATCCCGGCCGCCTAACTCATACCGCCGAGCCCGACCCAGCCCCGAGCCGTCCCTCACGGGCAGGGAGCGAACCGCCCGCCCTGCGGGGAGGCCGCGCCCGGGGGCGGGCTCAGAGGAAGCCGCGCCCCTCCCCGCCGCCATAGCAACCGCCCGCCGCCGCCACGCGCGCGCGCCCCTCTCTCCTTCCCCTCGTCCCCCTTTACCCATTGCTCGACCCCTCCCCCGACCCCCACACCCCTCTTCCTCGCTCTACTCGAGCGCAGAAAAGACCGCGTCCCCCTCCCCGCTCCGCCGGCGCCAGAACACGCACCCCGCTCGTCCCAGGTAATGGCGGGGCGGCTCCCTCGGGTCGCGGATGAGCCGCGGTGCTCTGCGGCCCAACGACGTCCGCCCCGGCGGCGCTGGGGGTGGCCGTGGGCTGAGGTAGGGGTGGGCTGCCGCGGGGCATGCTGGGAAGCGTAGTCCCGCGGCGCCCGCCGCCCGCCGGCGCCGAGCGGAGGAGCGGCGGGTGGAGACTACAACCCCCGGCGCGCTCCTCTGTTGCGTTGCGGGGGGAATCGGCGCTTTGCCCTCTCGCGGGGGAGCGCTGTGAGGAGGGGTGGGCGCCGACAGGTGCGGGCGGGGGGAGGTGGGCAGGCCCGGCTCCCTCAGCTCTGAGGGGACGGAGGGGCCGCAGACGCGGGGTGGGACCGGGCGAGGGGAGGGGAAAAGCGAGCCACCGGCGGGAGGGAGCGTGGTCCACGGGGCTTTGGAGGAGGCGCGAAGGCCGGCGGAGGGCAGGAGGGTGCCGAGGGCTTGGGGCTGGCGGCTCCGCACGGCGTGCATCGCGCCCGCTGTGCCATCACGGTGTCCGTGCGTTTGACTCCTGTGCCTCTCCGTGTCCTCTACTGATGGCTTTGTGCTCTCCTTTACCTTACTGTAGGCGTGGAGACCTACAGTTCCTGTTCAAGATGATGTGTGAAATACTAATATTCACTGTTGGTATGCTGCAAGGATTTATTTATTTATTTATTTCCCCCCTGGCAATCTGAGAAGCATCCCTGCAGTTGTTTTCCTGCATATATTAATGTGAATGCCTGTTCCCAATACGTGGCTCTCAGAGTAGGGTTTCTATCCAGTGGATGCTTGATCTTTATTGTAGCTGAAGGTTTGATTTATCATAGAGGCATTTGAGTTGGAAGGGACCTTTAAATGTCACCTCATCCAAGTCCCCTTCAGTGAGCAGGGACACCTACAGCTCCATCAGGTGCTCAGAGCCCTATCCAGCCTGACCTCGAGTGTCTCTGGGGATGGGGCATCCACCACCTCTCTGGGTGACCTGTGCCAGTGCCTCATCTCTCTTATTATAGAAAACTGGAAAACTTTATTCTTATATACAGGCTAAGTTTATCTTTTTTTTAGATTGAAACCATTTCCCCTTGTTCTATTACAACAGACCCTTATAATGAGTCTGTCCTTTCTTACAGCCCCCCCTTTAGATACAGAAAGGCCGCTCTCAGGTCTCCCCAGAGCTTTCTCTTCTCCAGGCTGATCAACCCCAGCTCTCTCAGCCTGTCTTCATAAGAAACGTATTTATTTGTTTTCTTTTGCTGACATCAGATGCAGCCTGGGCAGGCTGAGGCTCCCCAGCAGCCCTGGATGCTCCCCAGGCCACGGAGTCTCTGCTCACAGGTCCAGACTCCTCAGTGGTCACAGAGGAGTGTGTCCTGCCCTCAGCTAATGACAGTCTCAAGGTGGAGAAGTAAATGGAAGGATCAAATGGAAGGAACCAAATCTGTGATTTTCTAAGTAAATAATTGTAGAAAAAAAATATTCTTTGGAGGACAAGCTGAGAAATCTGACAAGACTTGATAACTACAGCTCTAACAGCAGTATGCATATACATTCTAAAGAATACTGACTGTTTTTTCAGAAGACTTTAAAAAAGCAAAATTGTATGTTGGAACATTCATAGTCCTAAAGAGCAAATTCTTTGGAATTCAAAGGGGAATTTCAAAGAAGGGAAAGCATCCAGCATAAATTCTGACCTTATGAGTCAGGGTTATAAACACATGTGTGAGTCCATTAAACCTGCAATTATTCATGGAAAGTTTATCTGGCTTGCAGATCAGCTTCACTAGGAATGTAGCAGCACCAGAACTGAATCTCTGTGCAGCTGGCTTTGCTCTGACAGCGCTTGTGAGTCGCAGTGGTGTGGAAGCATGGATGTGCTGTATCCAGGGCCAGGTGCAGGAACAGTTTAACTTTACTGACTCAGAGACTAACCTAACAAACACTTTGAACCCAAGCTGGTTCTGCACAGACCCATCCTGGGAGTCTTTGGTGGCATGTTTCCTCCACTATAAGAGCTTATGTGGAGAGTTTGATGCGGAGAGAGACAGAAGGGTTACTGATCTGGGCTGAGTTTCATTTCCCCGAGCTCTGGACAAGCCCTGCAGAAGCCTTGAAGCATCTGAGCTGTGCATCTTGCTGAAGGAGGGATCCACCACCTCTAGGCTAGTATCATGTGGGCACTTCAAGCTGCTCTAGGTTTGGTGTGGCACTAATGCTAGAAGTGCAGGAGACCATGCTGTAGAGGAGAGATGCTGAAATCAACTTGAGTCCAGATAGCAAAGAATATGCTAATACTGTCACAACCTAAAGCACATGTGCATGGAATTACACTCCCTCAAGTGCCCCATAGCATTTGCATTCGCTGTTCTCATTTCAGTTATCTAGGCTAGTTGATGAGCACGTCATTACCTGAAGTAGTGCAGATGTGACTGTGTGGATGAGCCCGAAGTTGGCACATTGGGTACTCTGGAGGAGAATGCAGTTTGCAGTCAGTTGTAGGAACAGCACAGCAATTTCTGGCACTTCTCTTTCTAGGTAGTTCTGAGGCTTTGCAAAAGGTCATTGTGCTGTGCAGGATGCTCACTGTTCAGAGCAATAGCATTAATGCACTGACCAGCTGTTTAGGGAGTTCTTGTGTATTTGTGATTCCTATTAACCTGAGGTGAATGTCTTCACTTCATTTGAAGATTTTTTTCTTTCCACTTGCATTTTAAGTTAGCTCTTGGAATAATCCACACCAGTTGTTTGAGGCCTTTGTGCATGTCTCATCTTACCAGTTCCATGCACATTTTCCCATTATCTCTGCATCTAATGTTTCAAAAGGGGGTTTCAGTGCAAAGAAGCCCAATGCCACTTAAGAGAAAGCAGATAACCAAACTGCTGAAACTGAGCCACATGCTTACTTATTCACATGTATTTTAGCAGAAGTAGTGATGCAGTGAGATAACGATTGTTAGTGCCCATCCAAGTTCGTGGAGCTGCTGCAGCAAGTCAAAGGAAAGCCAGGTTACTGGGCAAGGAGATTTTGCTGTGGAACTTTGTGAGCCTGTCTGGTTGTACCTCTCTGTCAGTGATGACTCAAAATGCTTTTGTCACACCAGTGTAATGCCTGACAATTGTCTGTGACATTGGTGATCGCTTCTCAAAGGGACAATTAATTACTGGAAATGGAAACCAGTTGTTGTGTACTCACATCCATCATGAAAATGATAATCTAATAAAACTGGCAAGATTTTTTTCTTAATGATTGCGTATTTAAATAACATTCTTAAAAAAAAAATCAGTTGAAATACATCACGCCCAGAAAGAAATGCAGTCTGACTACTTCAGTCAGAAATACACTTCTGCAGCCTTCTGATGGGGATTGCAGGTGATGCTGTAATAAATGTTTCTTTCTTCCCTGATGACATTCCAGGTAGTGTTTCAGTTCACACTTCTACTGTTGTCATGTCATTATATGTCTCTATTTTGACAAATTTTAACCTTGAAGGGAAAAATGTAAAGTAGGATCCTTGGTTTGTATTAGGTGAAAACATAATTGAGGGAGGATATCTGAAACTGGTCAAAGCTGACTTTAGGAACAGTATGGCCAGAAATGGAAGACAAGTTTAGGTTAATCATAAGGAAGAGCTTTAAAGCAGCAAAAAGAGAAGAAAGAGAAGAATAACTGGCAGTTCATTGCTTAGAATGTGGAAATAGAAATAAGTGCGAGTGAAAAGCAGATAAGTTCAAGTGCTGAGACCACGTACATCACAGAATCATCGAATGGCCTGGATTGAAAAGGACCTCAAAGATCATTTCATTTCAACCTCCTGCTATGTGTAGGGCTGCCAGCCACCAGACCAGGCTGCCCAGAGCCACATCCAGCCTGGCCTTGAATGCCTCCAGGGATGGGGCATCCACAGCCTGCTTGGGCAACCTGTTCCAGTGCGTCACCACCCTCTGTGAAAAACTTCCTCCTAATATCTAACCTAAACCTCCCTGTCTCAGTTTAAAACCATTCCCCCTTTCCTGTCACTATCCACCCTCATATACAGCCATTCCCCCTCCTGTGTTCCCTTAGAGTACTGGAAGGCCACAATGAGGTCTCCCTGGAGCCTTCTCTTCTCCAAGCTAAACAATCCCAGTTCTCTCAACCTTTCCTTATAGGAGAGGTGCTCCAGCCCTCTGATCATCTTAGTGGCCTCCTCTGGACCCACTCACATCCTTCCTGTACTGGGAGCCCCTTTTTTAATGCAGCCCAGAACACAGTTGGCCTTCCGGGCTGCAAGTGCACACTGTTGGCTCATGTCCAGCTTCTCATCCACCAGGACCCCAAGTCCTTCTCCGCATGGCTTCTTTCAAGAAGATCTTCCTTCAGTTTGTATAAATACCTGGGATTGCGCCGACCCAACTGCAGCACCCTGCACTTGGCCTTATTGAACCTCATTGGGTTTTCATAGGCCCACTTCTCCAGGTCCCTCTGGATGGCTTCCCTCTCCTCCAATGTATCGATTGCACCGCTCAGCGTGGCGTCATCAGCAAACTTGCTGAGGATGCACTCGCCATCATCTGTGTCATTGATGAAGATGTTGAAACGCACCGGTCCCAAGACCAACCCCTGAGGGACAGTGCTTGTGACCGGCTCCACCCTGACACAGAACCATTGATCACATCCCTTTGGCTGTGTCCAGCCAGCTAGTTCCTAATCCATTGAATAGTCCATCCTTCAAATCCACACCTCTCCAATTCAGAGAGAAGGATGTGGTGAGGGACCATGTCAAAGGCTTTGCCGAAGTCCAGGTAGATGACATCCACCGCCCTTCCCCCATGTACCGAAGCTGTCACTCCATCATAGATGGCCACCAGATTGCTCAGGCATGATCTGCCGTTGGTGAAGCCACACTGGCTGTCTCAAATCACCTGTTTATCTTGTATGTGCCTTAACACAGCCTCTGGGAGAATCTGCTCCATGATCTTCCCTGACACAGAGGTGAGGCTCACTGGCCTGTAGTTCCCCAGGTCTTCCTTTCCCCCTTTCTTAAAAACGGGAGTAACATTTCCCTTTTTCCAGTCACTGGGGACTTCACCAGACAGCCATGATTTTTCAAATATGATGGAGAGTAGCTCGGCAACCACATCAGACATCTCTTTCAAACCCCAGGATGGATATTATCTGGCCCATGGACTTACACATGTTCAATTTCATGAGGAGGACTCGGACTTGTTCCACTGTTAAGTGGGACAGAAACCACTCCCCACACTCTTAC